GTGTGTGTGTGTGTGTGTGTGTGTGTGTGAGAGTGTGTGTGTGTGAGAGAGTGTGTATGTGTGTGTGTGTGCGTGCGTGTGTGTCTGTGTGTGAGTGAGAGTCTGTGTGTGTGTGTCTGTGTGTGTGTGAATCTGTGAGAGAGAGAGAGAGTGTGTATGTGTGTGTGTGTGTGCGTGCGTGTGTGTGTGTGTCTGTGTGTGAGTGAGAGTCTGTGTGTGTGTGTCTGTGTGAGAGTCTGTGTGTGAGTGTGAATCTGTGAGAGAGTGTCTGTGTGTGTGTGTGTGTGTGTGAGTGTGTGTCTGTGTGTGAGTGAGAGTCTGTGTGTGTGAGTGAGAGTCTGTGTGTGTGAGTGAGAGTCTGTGTGTGTGTGTGTGTGTGAGTGAGAGTCTGTGTGTGTGTGTGTGAGTGAGAGTCTGTGTGTGTGAGTGTGAGTGAGAGTCTGTGTGTGTGAGTGTGAGTCTGTGTGTGTGAGTGAGAGTCTGTGTGTGTGTGTGAGTGAGAGTCTGTGTGTGTGTGTGAGTGAGAGTCTGTGTGTGTGTGTGAGTGAGAGTCTGTGTGTGTGAGTGAGAGTCTGTGTGTGTGTGTGAGTGAGAGTCTGTGAGTGTGAGTGTGTCTGTGTGTGAGAGTCTGTGTGTGTGAGTGAGTGAGAGTCTGTGTGTGTTTGTGAGTGAGTCTGTGAGTGTGTGTGAAATGTAACGAACAGTGTTGTGTTTGCCTTGTATAGACATATTTGCCCATATGACGCCTAACTCAAACAGTTCTTCAGTTACACTTCATTGTCAATTATTTCACAAGCTCCAAGCAGACACTTCAGATGATATAATTAGCTTCCAGCTTCATATTGGTCTGTTGAATAACCAAGTTTAGAGTTATTCATGTTTTCAGTGTTTGCTACTTTAAAGACCCCTCAGCGCTTATACATGTTCTGGCATCACTAAATTATTACGTGTATTTGGACACGTTTGTGAATGCGTGTAAAGTCCTGTTCTGACAAGATTAGTTTTGTAGAGAGGTGGGGTAATGTAATAATTACCAAAACTTCTAGCTCATTGTAATCCCGTCCGAGTAGTTTTCATTTCCTGGACCGTGTGTTCATCTGCCAGTAAATATTACAGTGTATTAATAATAACCCCAGGTAATAACAGTCCCATGCTAGTAAGAAGCCAGTGAATCTGCCTCGAGCGACACTTGTCCAGTCTGAAAGCCCGAGCGCTTTACTGGAAAGATTATATCATTTTTGGCCCGTTTATTTTCTCTGTTATCCAGCACATGATTACATTGTTGCTACTGTCAATATTACTGTTAAAATACAAACGTGTTTAATATTTCCTGCTTAATTATTTAGCACCTAAATATATAGCATTACTAAATACAAATGCATTGTTTATCCCGTTTTGAATGCGGTGTGGCGATTGCTTTCAATTGCTCACATGCTCTCTGAAGAGTCCTCACTCATGCGGATGGACTTTTCAAAATTTAAACTTACAGGTGCATCTCAATAAATTCTCGAGCAGCAGATCAGCATATTATACTGATTTCTGAAGATCATGTGACACTGAAGACTGGAGGAATGATGCTGAAAATACAGCTTTGATCACAGGAATAAACTACAGTTGAACAGATATTCACAGAGAAAACAGCTGTTTTACATTCTAATAATATTTTACAATATACATTTTTTCCCCCTGTATTTTTGATCAAATAAATGCAGCCTTGATGAGCAGAAGAGACTCCTGTAAAAAACATTAAAAATCATTCTGATCCCAAACTTTTCACAGATCACTGTTGTGATTTTATGTATTTCAAATGCATATGAACAACCATTCAGAGTTATGTAAGTCACCATCTTCAAGAATCGGCTAAAAACACATCTCTTCCATCTTTATTTTACCCTCTAACTCTAGCACTCTCTATTCTAATTCTATTCTTTTTTAAAAACTTGCCCCTTTTAGACTTGCACTCTATTCGTTTACTAACTGCTTGTTTTCTTAAAAAAACACTAGCTTCTCGAAGTAAACGTAAGGGGTTTGAATTGGACCTAACCGAAAGTGTCTTCATTTGCAGTGATGGTTGTCAACCTGGCAAACCTAACAATGACTCACGAGTGAGTCTTCATGACTGACTGGTTAAATGAAGCTGTTCATACGTGTGTGTGTGTGAGTCAGTCATCATGCTCACGTCGTGATCTCTCTCTAAAGCCGAGACGCCAGCATTCATCGATTAGTCATGTTAAAGTGGCCTTTCCCACACTTTGAGAACTTGACGCACACATTGTACAATCACAGCTCATCTCGTGCTCCCTTTAGATGTTTTTGACCGCTGTTCTTCTGATTTTTAGGGCCAGACTTCAATCCCATTGCAATTCATAACTTTTATGACAACCTTGGATTCTTGGGTCCTGTTCCTCCTAAACCTCTCAAAGGTCCTGCGAAACAAGGTCAGGTTGAATCTCGCAACACTTTCAATACGATCTTGGCACATTTTTGCTGCTGCTTTTCCATTTGATTTTCTGTCCCTGAACGCTTCTGCTTTTTTCATGAAACATCCAGAGCGTTATTTCTCTACCTCTGCATCGTCAGTTTCTTCCTCTGTGCCTCTCTTTCTGTGCTTGATCTGTCTGTTGTGTCGTGGCGCTCGTCAGGTGTGCATCCCACAGGCTCTCTCGACGTTAAAGAGAGACCCATCTCTGGGTGTGTCTCTGAGCTCTTTCCTCCTGACTGTGCTCTGCGCAGGCTTTGACTGTGTGTGTGTGTGTGTGTGTGTGTGTGTGTGTTTCAGAGGGCAGCCGGAGCGCCAGGCTCGTGTCGGAGCCCGAGGAGGACGACGGTGTTCAGTGGAGCTGCACTGCCTGCACCTTCCTCAACCACCCTGCCCTCAACCGCTGTGAAGAGTGTGAATTCCCCCGGCATTTCTGAGCCACACACACACCTAACATTCTCCACCGGGACACACGTCTGCTGGAGGCTTCTCTAAAGCTCCCTCTTTGCCCCTCAGTGTCATTGTGTGTTTGTTTGTCTTGTGATGTCCACTGAAGACTGGATGATGTTTACAGCTCTCTTGTCTCTGTACAGTGTGTGTGTTTCTGTGTGTGTGTGTTTCTGTGTGTGTGTGTGTGTGTCGTATCGTGTGGGAGATCAAGGGAAATTTCCCCTCTTGATCCGTGAAGAGGCTCGTGTTGCCGGTGATATTGACACGTTTATTTCATCCACACGCGGTTTACAGATGTGGCTTTGGATGCCAGTGTGCCTTTTTCATGGGAACTGATCGTGACTGCTTTATCAGTGCTGTTCCCAAAGGATCATGGGCGGAATCTGCTCAACTCACAGTTCTTTTGTTTGATCAATGAAATGCAAAAAAGAAAAGAAAAAAAAACCCCTGCATGTTTTAGATGTACAGTTTACAGAGGAGTCTCCGCCACAGATTTTACTGTACATAGTTTTAGAACGAGCTTTTCTTTCTCAAGAATTCACATGTATTTCCTGTAAGTATAGCTTTATAGACGTCATTTATTTCTCTGTTGTTGTTTCGTTTGTTTCTCTCAGATGAGTATGGAGCGTTTGTGAGAAGCTAAAGGGATGCTGAAACAGCGTGCAGCAAACAGTGCTCTGTCAAGCACTCTATTCAGCGTACGAGCTGCAGACGCAGCAAAACTGAACTGAAAAAGATCTAGATTTTATTAATAATAAGGTACTTGACCTCGGAGCAGTTCACAGGAAGTCCATAAAGCCCAAGATAACAAACACGTTCCTGTGTGACAACTGGAATCTAGGTTTACTATGAGAGGAACTGATACCTTTGTGCCATGAAAGGGATGTTTCTCTGCTATGCATTGATGGAGCTCTTTCCCATTGTTTGCAGTAATGTGGGTCTGAGAGGAAAGACTTGTGTGCGTGTGTCCTCCGAACAGCGGACGAGTGTTCACAAGGGCTTTAACACACCGAGTGCTCGCCGCTGCCTTCTATGCTTCAGGATTTGTAAATTGCCAAAGCACAGGCGTCGTGTCTCTGAGTGCAGCGAAATATTTCACCATGTGCCTTCGGTCTTTATGTGGGTCTCTGTTACGGATCATGGTTTGTGGCAATATGCACAGTGCCTTAACTTACAGATGTTACAGAATTTAATCTTTATTATTATTAAACTGTAATAAAGTTGCAGTTTTGTAACTTTATTAGTTGATTGAACTAAAACAATGTTTTGACATCCATCCTTGTGAGAGTGCTAATGCATAAATAGTGCATTGAAAAGCTGAATGAGATTATTTATAAATCCTTCTGGTATCCAGGCTAAAATAACTTGGCTGTGGAGAGCATTCATTCAGTCGACGCAGTTCTGATATGAGACTATTTTGGCTCCAAAAACATTACTCTGTGCTAGTTCCACTAACGTTTGAAGAAACCAAAGGAATAATCAGATCTGTCCGTTAAGAGAAAAGGGGGAGAAAATCATTTGAATATTCATTGTTTTTGATCTTAGCTGGGAAAACTGTCTTTGGAATAGATAAGTTATTTGTAAAAAAAAATAATAAAATAAAAAAAATAAAACAAGAAATAAACACTGTCTCCTTGCTGGAGTTTTTGGATCTTTAGAATTTATTTCAAAAGGATTGTTCTTCTGGCTTCAGGTTGAAATTAAACTGAAAAATATGGTACATCTTTTGGAAATACACCACACTGCGAATTTAAAATGATTCAAAGCCGTATCCCAAAACCTGCATGAAGTTGGGAAGTGTTTACCCTCACGAACAATAAAAAAACGAATAAAGAGAACATACCTGTGCTCACTGACACAAACTAAACCTGTGAGCATTAAAATGAGAACGAATACAGCGACTGTGATTTACGAAGATGGCATTACACGAGTGTTGAACAGAATCCGCTCAGACTCGGAGGCATCATGGCATCTGACTTGAATCCAGTGCGACAGCTGTGGGGTTTTACAGGGGTTTATAACTGCTCACACACTAAAAGTTGTAAGTGAACCATTCACTCGTGTACCAAATATTCAGACCAAGTCTGCAAAGCTGCAATTGATAAACTAACTTCTAAAGCCCGTTCTCTACATTACAAACCAAAGCCGTATCGAGTGCAAATCTAACAAGCCAGCAGTGATTGTAGAGCTCAGGTCAGTTCAGTAACTGAGAAGTTGATCATATACAGTGCGTTTCTCTACATGTGTGTGTATGTGAGGGCTTTGACAAACCACTGAACAAGAAAAAGACAAGATTGTAGTGTTGGACATTTGTCATATCTGTGTGTAACTTTTATAAAATGGTGTTTTTGTGTAGTAACTCTACACACAAACACTGAATGATTAGAGTTGAAATGGGTTTGAAAGCATTGTGGTTTTGTGTAACAGCTGGACGCCGCAGAGCATTGTATGTCGTCTTTGTTTGCCGAGAGACTCCAAGTACTGAACAAATGAAAGATTTGATTGCAGCTGTGGGGCCTGTGTTTTTAATATAGTTCAATCTAAACTAGTAGCAAACACCCTGCTGTTCAACTTAGAAGCAATGCCGTTACTGTTGATGATTCGACATGTAAATGATATTGCAATAAGTGTGTACTCAATTCTGTTGTATACCGTACATATCATTTACAGCGGAGATTAAAGTGTTTCGTCTTCTGTGCACAGTAAGATACATGACAGGAATTTTATGAATACTTTAGAAATAGAAATGTCTGCTTTGCCGTTATTGAGCACAGAGGTCTCTCAAATGGTCCATAACCTAGAATGGTTAGCAAAAACCACTGCTGAGACACCAGATGGAAATGAATTTATTTTTATGTACTATTACAGTAATTTGAAATTGCTAACAATGTCTGAAACCATGGTTTCTTTTCTCTGAACTTGGAAATCATCAAGGTTTCTCTTGCAAAAGCAAACAGAGATTTCAAAACCATTTTGCCTCGTCTCAGAACGGTACATTTGCATCCAGACTCTACACACAATTAAACGATGAGTTCTTATTGCTTCCCAGTTGCTTACACGTTTGCTGAATCTTTGGCCCGTTGTCCTACAGCTAAACACCAAAAACTAAACCACAAATGCAAAACTCTAGCAAAAACAAATCTCTTTTCAAAATTGTTTTTGCACCAAAATGACCCACACAGGTGTCACACGAAGAGATCTGTGCACACTATGAGTATCCCGTCAGTAACATTATACCTTTGCACTGTCGGAGTAGCTGGTTGTATTCCTACTCAAATATACATAAACACAAATGTATGCAATGAGAGACAAAACATGCAAAAGGAAGTCTGCATTCTGCCACAGCACCTCGTCTTCAGCAGAAGAGATGTTCTCGCCGACTAAACAGCTGGGAACGAGGCTTTAGGAGAAACCCAGCTGCTGAAAGCATCTTGACCTGAAGAGACGTGCGAGGACACAACGGTCCCCTTCCATCATGCTCTCTTCTGCACTCATTTAATGGTCTGTTTCTGTGTACGTTTTATTCCATCTCATATCTGTCATGGGAATGAACAATCAGTCATTTAATTGATTTAAGTTGAAAAAATGGCAATTTTGATTTAAAAAGTACACCTATTATACACAGCTGATGTATTCAGTGCTTCTGAATCTAGACAGTGGAAGCGTAGAGAGTTCAGTTCAAGAGCATTTCGCCTTATTTGTGAATCCTTTGACCAGTCATTAAGAAAGAACAGTTCAGACATCACTAACCAGTGGGCCACTGATGTTGAAAAGACATCAAATTGACATTAAAAAAAAAAGCAAATCAAACTGAAGTCGTGACCTTGACTGAACGTCAAACATTGGCCTACATATACATTAAAGCAAGTTCAGTGTGGGATTAACCTGCTGTTTTCACTCGATGACCACTGGAAGAAATTGCCGTCCAAACCGAATTTAAAATGATTCAACAGCATCTTGATCAAGTCTTGACTAATATTTGACATCAAATTGATATCAAGATGCCTGCTGGCATACATTTCTGATGATTATCAATGTTGAAAACAGTTGTGATGCTGAATATTTTAGTGGAAACCGTGATTCATTTTATTTTTCAGGATTCATAGATGAATAGAATTTATTTGTAACAAAGTTAAAATCATTACCTTCACATTTAATGAATTTAATATGTATTTGCTGAATTAAAGTATAAAAAACAATTACAGACCAGAGACATTTGAATTATGTAAATATCAGTAGTGTAAATATTGCATTTTAAAATGTTTGCATGCAAGGGCTCTGTTTTAACATTCATTATACTTCATTGTGTTTTTAGAGAGTATCAATTACTCACTTTCTTTATCTGAAATGAGGTATTGCATTTTTAATAAAACATTTGTGACACTTTAGCTTTCAAATGCACAGACCAGATGTTTCATGCATATAAGTTTCCTTACCAGCAGGCATCTTGATATCAATTTGATGTCAAATATTAGTCAAGACTTGATCAAGATGCTGTTTAATCATTTTAAATTCGGTTTGGACGGCAATTTCTTCCAGTGGTCATCGAGTGAAAACAGCAGGTTAATCCCACACTGAACTTGCTTTAATGTATATGTAGGCCAATGTTTGACGTTCAGTTTACATCAAATCAACACCATATCAATTCCTTCAGGTCAGTTTGATTTGCATATTTGACGTTCTTTTTGTTTTGGTTGTTGATTTCATGATATTCACTTCTAGTTTTAGACAAGCAAATGTGCAAAAGATTGAATGAAAGAGAAGGTTGTAGGTAATTTGGGGGTTTCTATGAAAGTTCATCTGCAACATCAATCATGAAATGTTTTATAGTTAATATAGTACATAAAATTAAAAAAATCATTTAAATTTTTGTAATGGAACAAATACATTTTAATCAATGAATAAAAACAATGTTTTGTTCTTTTTCTTTTTCTTTGTATTTATGCTGTCATCCAACATTTGTAATGTTATTATTAAATTTTTTTTATAAAAACGAATGAACTGAAATACAGAGTTATTACATAAACTAGTTAATATGATATAAAACTGTAATTGTTTTTTTTTAACTAAAAAATCATTTAAATTTTTGTAATGGAACAAATACATTTTAATCAATGAATAAAAACAATGTTTTGTTCTTTTTCTTTTTCTTTGTATTTATGCTGTCATCCAACATTTGTAATGTTATTATTTAATTTTTTTTAATAAAAACTAATGAACTGAAATACAGAGTTATTACATAAACTAGTTAATATGATATAAAACTGTAATTGTTTTTTTTTAACCTGGTAACTCACACTGTGTGGCAGTAACATGAATGTTTTGTGGTCTGATACATACAGTGGTGGATAGATACACTGTGGACGTATATCCTGGGTTTAAGTGCCAGTTCTTCCCTCAAATCACACGTTATGTTGAAGTTATCAATCAAATAACTTTTTATTTTATTTACTTGCATTTGATGGCTGATGAGTGTACATTCCTGGCCCCATAATTACACACAAAATTGGACAAAAGGCAGAATAAAGGGTGCCATGCAAACTGCAACCACCAGTGGGCCTTGCACACATTTGAGATGCTTGCTGCTGTAACCATGTAATTATGGCTTTGAGTAAATCTACGACCCTCTCTGTTGTTGGGAAAGAGTTTGTGTTTAACGTGTGTCCCCTCATACAGCTGGCTCATCAGACAGTGAGTAAGGTTAGTCTGGGAGAGCGCTTGCATTCT